TACACCGTGCACTTCCTCCGGGCCATATAAGGCTGTATGAGCGTTAACTCTTTGACGTGTCGCGGGAGGAACGAAAAACATCCGGAACCCCGATACATCTGTTACGTCAGACACTTCAACACACAAAACACCCACTTCACTGCACAACATTATGTGTACAAACGTATGGCTGTAACTTGAATAATTTGCCTCGCTTTATGTTGCGACTTTAGGGATGAATGCAGTTTCATTGCAAGTCTACACCAAGACCACATCTTTCTAAACACATATTTCTGCATTGTTTGCCTTCTCCTTTTTTTTTTGGTTGTTGACGCTGTTGCCTCTCACTATCCTTTAGGTCGATGTTAATGTAATCAATGATATTCTAGGGATCAGTCTAATGGCAGATTATGTTGATTGTGATGTTTAGTATATTGTTACACACATTACCCAGTTACGTGTTGTTTATGTAAGATACAGGATTAAGAATATATACCCATGTAGAGTCAAGCGATGATTGGAAGGTAACGTTTTGATTAAACGCTTATTCGCGTGTCCACAATTTTGAGGGCGAGTAAAGTGTGAATCCTTCCCGCTTCGACTGTAAGGTGAGGAGCTGTCAGATGAAGATGTTTTCTTTCCGAAGAATGACGTCAACGCCCTCTGTTGTTTTTTCCTTCTCATCAAGGCTCTTTCATCCCCACGTAGTCGCCTACGCCAGGCTGCCGTGCCATAGCAACCGACAGCAATCAGTTCGGCGTTTCCACGAAAACATCATCGTGGTGTCGTCTGCTTTGCGTCAGGACAGAAGAGCCGTCTCTATTCATGGCCGGTGTACCGCCGCTAGCCGCGCAGGCACGGCCGCCCCAGTCAGCCAGACATGCGCGGTATTTTCTCTCAGGCGTAGACAAATTATCAAATACAATGCAGTTCAGCTACCACTGCAATCAACGGAACTCTTTCTATCGACTATTACTCGCGTTTCAGTGAATTCCACACATCGTACTGAAAAGAGCAGAGCTGAAAACATCTCGGAGCGCGCGTGTTCTCCCACAGGGCAGAATGTGAAGCGTTTGAAATAGACATCAAACAATGTTCATATTACATACCAAACACGCGGGAATGTAGGTTGGAAGAGCTCAGAATTCGCTCTGCGGAAAGAACGTTACATTACGAAGAACATACTATTTGTAAAAACGTTATGCTCGAGGTACTGTAAGCTCTTGTAGCTGGTATTTTGCGCAGCAAGATAATATTCATAATGAATAGACCAAGCAAGAACGTTAGATTTCACATGCACGCCAAATGCAATGAGAATATTATCTAATAAAGAGGGTATATTTCTGTACATTTCATTACCGACAGTAAGATTTGGACAAATAATTACGGCGTGAAAACAGTTTTGACAGTCGTGCGTCATCAACTGTGGCTGAAAACAGAAACATTACCACACAAGGCATGGGTAAGCAACGGTCTACTTTCAATTTCTCGGCGGCTTTAATTAGTAAACGACTTCGGACGTGTGTGAGCTGGAGGAACTGGACCACCAAAGTCTCGTTTGTTGCTGGTCGTATTCACACAGAGAGCTGCTGTAAGCTACCAAAGGTAATTACCCCCTACATCAAGCCAAAATACCTCCCCAATGTCTTCATCGCCACCGGCGCTGGCCAGCAGTTCAAGTCTAGACGAACTGCCTAATAAAACACCAGCGCCATGTGCTCAGATTAACGAAATTTGTAAATCAGGACGCGAATGTCTAATCTGGTTTGGACTCAGATCTCCCTTGAACCCAATTACCTGTACGAAGGTGGCCTCTCCTGACTGTATGCTAGAAATACGAGGCCCAATTTGGAATTTGGAAACCGACCGAGCGGGAACAAGGAAGCGATTTAGCCTCTCGCTATTCAGTGACCCATTCGTAGCAGGTTAAGGTAAACGGTCGGACGCCCCCTGCTGTTTGGTGCCCTGTACTACACCGGGATTCGACATCATATTAAAAGTCTTGAATAATTGCCAAATCAATGTAATTACGTCTAATGTCCAATAATGGAAGAAATATAATCCTCAAACCGTCAAGCCAAGACGTGTCCAAATGGAAATATAGACACAAGAAAACATGAACAATTGTGGACCACACCATCGGAGTGTAACACAATTTCATGTTTGTTTCCTCGCCCGAAAATGAACATTTTTCAGAAGCCAATCTTTACACCGAAGCACACAGCTATTAGTAGATACTCCCAATACAGGCTAGTGTTGAATTTAATAACCTAGCACATGCGTCCTTCCCCACAAATAAAAGGCCAGCTTTCACGACGGAGCTTGTTGCAAGAAACCAATGGAACACAGGACTCGCAGAAATATGTCGCTAACGTACCTGCCTGCATTTTTAAAAACACAAGCCTGCAGTTTTAAAAACGCAAGATGAGCGGAGTTGAAAGACTTTTTAAAATCATTTTGATGTTGGATATCGGAGCATATAGACCCCATTTCTTTAATGAGAAGTCCGTCACCATACCCTATCAAGAGGAGAAAAGAGGTAAGAATTTTTTCTGCGGCTGAACTGAGCGCCAGCCTTACACCACAAGACAGCCGCCAGACTAATCCCTCTCCTTCAAAATGGTCTCATGCAGGCTGGCTGCTCAACTCATTTCAACCTCAAGCCCGCTGGAAATCAGCAGTCTCTCAGTCTAAGTCTAGCGACAGGTGGGACGGTTAGGGCATCTCGGAGACTGCCGGCTCCGGACACAACTTTAAAAGCACCTTGTCTGTGACCATTGCACATCAAACCCACAAAAATAGACAGTCAGCCGTCTGGAAACTTATTACTTCAATTGGAAGGACTTTAAAAGATCTGAGCAAAACACGAAGGCAAATTTGATTGTTGGATACACCTTCTGTAATGTAAAACCAGAACATGATTGGTTTATATTGCATGCTGACCACCTCAGGCCATATGGAACACAATTAACCATCTCAGTTCTTTACGCGACAATAACAGAACGACATAGTGGTGATAGGCGTAGATATAGAATAAACTACCAGAAGTCCAATTCATTTCAGATACTTGATCAAATTTGTGTAATTTGCAAAGAAAAGAGAACACGTTGGTGTCAAAAAGTGCTCAATATTTTTTCTACACGGACAATGATGTATTTCCTTTCATCTCAGTGCCTTCCTCACGGCTAAGCTGTTCTGGCAGTGCCTCCCGAAGGCACTCTGCTCCACATATCGGCACACCTGTTCTAAGCGCGCCCGAATGGGTCTTGTTACACCTGCCGCGCACCTCACCTGGATACAGCGGCGTCGGCGGCATTGGTGGCGGGTACGGCGCGAAGCGGCCTCTGCCGTCGCCTGGAAACGGTGGTGGATAGCTATACGGAGAGAACATTCTGTCCGAGCAGGCAGTGCAGGGATGGAGGAGAGAAGAGAAGAGAAGCAGCGGAGAACCCCCTCCTGTGTGCAGTCGCTCCGGCGCCGCTGGACGTCAAGTGACGACTGACTACCTCCACACGCAGCCTCAGTGGTTTATCCACTGACTCAAGCTCCGACTAGTGGAATATACGTAACACCACATGCGCCCGCAGCGCCGCAAGGCGAGGTGTTGGTGGCCTGACTAACGGCTCTGATGACTGGTAACCTTGCTAAAGCCAACTGCAATAAAGTTGATGGACAGACGCATTTAGCGCAAATCTCCCCCAGCGAGCTTTCCCCTTTCGATCTGCGCAAATCGGAAGGGACCCGGAGTAACGGGGCCAAGCGTAGCGCGCCCCTGAACATATATCTGCTCCGGTAACTTTTGTGCGTTGATGTATGAAACGGATTGCTGCTCGCTATCGATCAAATCTCACCACTTTGTAATGACATATTATAGGTTTCTCCCCCAGAACAGTTAATCTGGTGTGGACCCCGGCGGCCGCTCCACCATAAATTTACACCAAATGACAGACTAGGAGGGATGGACCTTACAGTGGCCGGCGATACGTACTGGCTCTTTTTACCGAAAATCGTAGACAAATAAAGCCGCGTTTTACCGCGCCAATATATCGTCGTGTGCATGGAGGAAGGCACGTACGGAGCAAACCGCGGAGCTCAGAAATTCTGTTCCACCACAGTTCGCGAAATGTCTTCTTGGGTACAAGCTAGTGCTGCTTATCTTTTTTAATGATACCTCAAGGGCATTAAAAGTTTTTCTTGAGGTTGGTTGAAAATTAAAACTCCCCTATGATTCGCAGCTACATGTACTGCACGGGGTCATCTTCACCGCTTTGTCCTAGGTCCATTTTCAGGACTATGCAGTGACTTTGAAGAAAGATTATTGGTATTAATGTGAAAAAATATGATTACAAAGAAATGGATGAGCAGCCAATGTTTCTGTACTAGTGTTGGGGCCAATCAGTCATGTTGCCATCCTGCGGTCCCGTGTCTGTGTCCATTGATAGCCGGACAAGATTAAACAGCTCCGCAGCCAGGCTAACTGGAACCCTGCACACGGCGGGAATAATGATGCGATGACCAAGCGACGGCCAATTTTCCCGAATTTTTCCGCCTAACTGGTAATTGGAACCCACTCTATTTCTACCCTCCCATCTCTGGGTCGTGATCCGATTGCCGCAGTAGCCGCTGAAATCTACCTGCCGTGGAGGCAGCTATATATATTTGCATGGAGAAAATGGCCTGGCCTGCAGGATTCTTTATACTGTTTGGAAGCAACAGATGTCGCCGTGGTGATTACAGCTTGGACAACGTCGAACAGATCCCCATCAAATGTAGCCCGAGGGCAATCATGTAGAAAGTACGTTATTATTTTGTAGGCAATTTGCAATTTTGAGGGGACAAGAAACTTTTATTTGCCTTTAATTTACGCAGTACCTCACGAGCCTACGTACATGCTAATGTGATATATTTCAAAATAAGCAGGTGTCATATTAAACAAGGGAACGGACCCTATGCCGCCACAAAAAAACCTTTGAAAGGTAAACGATGATTACTGATATAACTATGACGTATTTGAAACTTACGTTCGCGGTGTTTTCTTCTCGTTAGATGTCCTGTGACAACTCCTCTGGGAAACTCTCGGGCAGTGGGACAACGTATCCAATGGCAACGGCTGTGGCCCTCCTAAATTTCAAAACAGAAGAGTCAAATGATGAATAAAAATTATTAGGCAAAGACATAGATACAAAGCAAACATATATTTGGGAGGGATAATATCCAACACAGATTATGATATATTTCTTGCATTGTGTGATTGACGGAGATAATTAATAATGCGCGGCAGTTTTCGGTCCTGGTTTCCCGCTCCCATGTCGTGTGGTGACGCAAGGCGGATAGAACACACCCTTATTAGGAAATGATTAGCTTCGATTTGCGCAAGGACCGACATAATTTCCTTGATTTGCGTCATGACAGGTTATTCAGGCTATGAAAAGAGACTATCGCCTTGGAAACGCAACATGTTGCCCGTATTTGGCGGACTCAATACACAAGATTTTCCGACAGCAAATTTTCCTTTTCCACAGTTTTTACTGTCAACGTAAGAGACAAATAAAGAAGAAATTCGGACAGAAGCAATAACATAAATATTGGTACATAATTGTATCTATGACTCTAAACTCGGCTAGAAATGAGTACATGTCGACAGACATACTGCAGGTGACCGTTAAAGGCGTAAGACCGGAAATAGTACCACGAATGATATTTGAAAAATTGTGCTCAACACAGCGAAAGTAGATCGGGAAAATATATATCCCTTGTCCGGAACTTTGCGGCCCAAGGCTACAGGCCCTTCGATTTCTATTTGTAATCAAGTTTTCCTTGTCAGAATGATGAAACACGGGGGGAATTACCAGAAATTTCATCCATCGATTTGATATGGTGAAGGATGGGACGAATGTGCGTTTTCGCCTTGACAGAAATTGGTCATAATGGTTTACCGCAGTGTTCACCACCGTCATCAAAGCCACCATGTCAGATACAGCACACCTTGTGTGTACGGACGGGCAGGGAGAGGCCGCCGAGTTAGGCAAGTGGCATTGGAAGTCTAACTAGGCCACTACATACTGCCAGGGTCGTTATAGAATTCAGAAAATTAGTGAGCAATTTGTCCAGATGCGAAGGTAATGGGTCTCCTGGTCCCGAGCTGGGCCACGGAGGCCTGGAGACACAAAGTCCAGCGCCAGGCACGCGAGACTTCCTCAGCAAAATCGACACCACAACTTGCCTTAAAATTACAACTTACGTCGCAGTTTCTGACAACCCGCTCTTTTCAAGATTATTTATGTCCTTCTGATATCTGTATACTAGTATAAACATTATGTAACGTCACCCGTCCCATGTCCTGTTAGAGTTAGAATTACGTTTTCTATCATTCTGTTCAAGACGCGTTTAGCAGGTCTGTAACTTAGATGAACGTCTTTGGGTGTATTGTTGAATATGACTCTTTGATGACTTGGCCGATTCGATAAGCTTCCCTAGCATCAAAAGAGTTTCTGAAACGCTGAACATCAATCTATATATATGTATATATATATGTATTAGAAAAAGGTAAACTACAATTTGAGATACTAGTACGCAACTTATCTTTGTTTCTTATGCAAAGTTTGACTTATATTTTCAGTGTATCTGTTGTTCCTACTTTTAGAGCAAAAACCGATCGTAGCTGGCCATTCCCCTGGCTCGAACTACTCGCCTGGAATATTGCCGAGGTCCGGCAAGAATTCGGCCGGCGTGAAAAAGGTATGAAGTCCAAACGCCCGGCCTTCCGCCTGATTAGCGGAAATCGTTGCTTCCCCAACGACGAGATTGGGAAGCTGACATCCGCGACCCATTTCATGCATATTTCACCGGAGCAATTCTCTCCCGCGAGATGGACCTCCAATAATTCAAACGTCACGGACTACCAACGGCTCGTCAGTACGGGCAGGATGTAGTCTCCACTAGTCGGACAATACTGTCTCTCTGACAGATTGTTTAACTATCGATCCAGCCCACGGAGCCTGATGGAGACTAGAGGAGTTTTTTTATTTATTTCGGGGGTGACAACGAACAGAAACACTGGAATGTGGGATTGGGAAGATGCTACTAGACTGTCGAAAACAGATACATGTACTATGATCAAGAAAGAATTAGGGCAAGACTTTTGTATCAATGGACGGGGGAGTCTATGGTCCTAGTTTTCGGATCGCCTTTTTCAAATCTCACCAAAATGCCACCCTCTGGATTTGAGCTCCTTAAAGCAGTTATTTTGACTCATATGATTTACATCACCTCTAAGTTATTATTCCCTCGCCAGCCACTGCTGCAAGACTAGAAGTCGTTTCTTCAGACCCACTCCCCACGTTATTACCGTCCCGGAAACTCGGGCTCCACATACGACAGGTGCATGAATGAACCATTACGACGAAAGAATATGTTCGTAGTATTGTTTTCTCAGACATCTGGGCTGACGTTTCAAGTCTAGGAACTGAGATCGCCTACTAGAGATCACCTGCTTTATTGTTGTCACGTTTGGGAGTCTACGGAGACGAGCCCGGGGCTTACTCAAATAACCTGTGTAGAAAGTGTTGCGCCGAGATGTCCCACAGGGGGCGCTTTGGCCTAGAGGCGGAAAAATGCTGCCAAATTCTCTTCAAGTTTATGGCTAAAAGCCCCAGTGTGTAAACAACTTCCGTCTTTAGATAGATCAGTCGCCCCCGGTGTGAAACAGATATCATCGTTAATTACTTGTAAAGCAAAGGCTCGTCTTTGGGACTTCACGGGGAAGGACTATTCTCTTGAGGAAGCGACGCTGTCGCAGCTTGCCAAGTTGGCGAAAAACCTTTCTTCCTGAGGAAAGTCGGCATGTCGCCCGCCCGGTGGATCCTCCCGGCGTCCCGGTGGACCTGGCCCGAGTGCAGCAGAATCCCAATGACCCCCGGGTCCGCACCGCGAGATGGATTCCTGGTGCTGCAGGCGGAAATACTTCTTGATTTGGACGGTCGATACCCACAAGTGGGACGATTTCCGGAGCAGATTGCTTTTACACCTGGATTACAAAGATAGAATTGATCGATGTTGAGATCGGTCCGCAGATACGGCCAAGTAGACTACGCCTCCGCACGCACACGGCCACGCACGGGCCCGGCCCTCCCCGCGGCTTCCTATCGCCTTGACATTGCCGGAGGGGGCTCGTGGTGAAAATGAAAGCCCGTCGTTATCGGAAGATCGTACGATAGCCGGAATTAGACCCGAAGGCACAACACACATCGTGTGCAAAACTAAATGTTACAACCAGGAGATCATAAAACTCACAGCACATACCCCGGGAACTCCGGCAGGGTGGGGTGGAATATAGTACATTACCAGGGTGAGATATGTTTGGTAAACAAGTCAGCCTTTACAAGGAACATTAGCTAGTTTCCAGACACACTAAGGTAGGGTAAAAAGACACGTCAACAAAAGAATCAAGGGAGAAATATGCAAAGCAAAGTTCAGGACTACAATTGAAGCTACCTGTACTTTTTCCCATTCTTTCATTAGACGAAAGACAAGTCGTTTTCTCTCAACTCCTGATGGACATTTGATAAAAGTAAACTGAGGAACGTGCGGACTTTATATTTCATGTTAATAATGCAGATAAGTCAGCAGAGTCTATAGAAAACAGCTTATCTTGATAGTAATTGCACGCACAGCTACAGATCGCTATATTTTCAGGATAACTGCAAATGTGCCAGTTATCCTACTAGTAATCCTAGGTACCATTACTGCCCACAAAGCACGTCTCGACGGTCTTTCAGGTGCGGCACCTACCGACTGACAACAAATTGCAGACACAGATGCACCTGTTACTAAGACAACGTCGCCCATAAAATAAAAGCCTTTCAATGTAAGAACATAAGGGCGCTGAAGATCAGAACGTGTCCCTTAAGCGAAGTACAAATAACGTTGAACAAGATGGAGTTAAAAGGCGCTAGAAGCCGGAGTGCGGTTTACTTTATAAACCTACCGGTAAGTACCTGCTAGGCTACAAGCCCACCTGAAGGCGTTTTATCCATACCTACAGCAAGGTGGCTTACACGGAAAGCCGTTGACCTTTGACAAGTACACTTAAAGCGAAAATGCATGGCAACTAAGACGTGCTATGCTCGACACAGATCCCGCCGATATCGATTTCCTCCCTACCTGTCAACACCTTCACATTCGCACACCCATCCACAGCACGCTTTGCCAGGGTTACAAAATGCCCCCAAACTATTTCATTTTGCCGGGAGGCCGGCTGGCGAGCTTGTTTGATCTCAGGATATCCACGGTTACTCCTGGTGATTTGAATTATATTCGCGTTTCCAAGTAACGCTTAGCTGGCCCCCTACCAGTTACGTCAGATTAGGTGCCAGGATTTCGCTGGTAATATGTGCCAGGCTGCTTTCCTTTGCAGGTGCTTCCTCGGGAACAGGGAAATGTTACATCTATGAATACGACAGACGTGGGGAATACAGGATATTGTACTAGCATGGTAGTAATAGATTAACGATAGCAACATGACCAGACAATGGTCTGTACCGGTGTGTTCACATTTGGGCTGTGCCATTCCGCAAATTAGGGTGGGGATTAAATGTTTGCGGATGACTTTACCAGATATGATAGATAATGTATCCCTACGCATCCTCTGCTAACAGCGATTCAATAGTCTAGGTGTTATATATATGGTAGACCTACGCAAAATTTACCTTCATACTTCAATTACACTGAAACATTCAGGCGTAAATGACATATAGTAGTTGGCTACCTAATCACTAAAATGGCTACTTGCACTGGGCGAAGGAAAAGACACATTAACAGGCCAATGCCTCCGCATTTCAGTGTGTAAACGGCCTATTAACCTATTTGTGTATTATTCACAACATTTACCCCAGTGGTATGCAGCAGAAAGGTCCCCTAACTACATGTAGGTGGTCTTTGCGAAGATGCTCTACTTGTTAGGACCTTTCTTTGTTCTGCTGGAAATGTCACCTGGGCGTCTAAAAGTCACATATGACGGCATACCCTTGACTAATGACGTACCGGTGCGTCACCGGCAAGGTAAGATCTCGCACAACTCGCGACCCCGCGAGACTTGACACGTCACTGGACCAGACCATTCG